AATGAATCCGTGACGTCAYGCGCAATGTCAAGAGCCACYGTAACTAGCGAACGAATAGTCGCAAATTAATTTAAGTGGTATCATTTTTTTCGTTATAGTATGCACTATACTTTAAGCCAAAGAAAATTTGATGAGTTGGATGGTCCTWTAAGGGGCACGAGAAAAATATATTTATAAGGCGCCAACTATATTTTTATATATCCACTTCAAAAGAAAAAATGGGTGTTTATCAATGTCTACTTGTGATTGTTTTATTTAGAAACTTGAAACTACCACCTGAAGATGTTAAACACAGATCATGATTTATTCTGCAATTTTTAACAAAATTCCCATCGAAATAATATATTTCATAGTAAAACAGCTAGGAAAATAAATTGTGGCTCTTACTTTTAAAATTTAATTTAACACACTCTAACCTACTGAAAGATTAAACTACATAATAACACATTCCATTAATACACGTAAAAAATAACAAATTTTATTAGAGTGCTTACTCACTACTCATTAAATGATTCAACATTTAAAAAATKTGTTAATCTTAAAAGTTAATCAATTAATAAATGTCGCTTTTAAACGCCCTCCAGAGTGAATAATAATATTAGAAATGCTTGGTTTAATTTTTGAGCRTTCTCCCAAAATTAAACTATTGCGATTCAACACGACAAAACACCCTCGAATGCYGTTACTCAAAAATAAAAATTTTGAAATTTTAAATATAGTTCAATGATAAGTATTGAACTAAGGTCTAATAACATATCAAATAATTTTCTTTATGTAAGTCATGATGAGTACGATCAATTTAATATAATAAGTATAAAATAAAATGTATATSTTATTGAGTTAAAATAATTATGTTGGGTTCTGTGATATCCAAAAACTGGAATTTTAGTATAAATGCACAATAATTAATGTACACACATTTTATTTCGATTACGGTGTTCAAATTTCACATGCCATATCCATTGCTTTTATAGTAAGTTATAATATCATAAATGATAACAAAATAATCATTTTCATTAACATAAATACTGTAATAGTAGTAATACTTCTGCATAATAATTACAAAATATATAATTTGTATACTATAATACACACACAMAAAAAAAAAAAATAGGTACACTCTAATATATAGTAAATATATATTAAAATTATATAAAAATAAAAATTAGACGAGGGGTGCTAATTTCTAAATTGATCATGGGGCGCACCGGTATACCTCACTGTGTCCTAGACCCCAGTGGACCAATTAGAGCCTGGTTGCTCTTACAAAGATATTACAGCAAAACAAAATTATTTTTTTATATGACAAATTTTGTAAAGTATATTGTTTATTTTTATCTGATAGTTTATTTTCATCCGCATTATTCAATGACGAGTTTCCCGAATGGAATTTACCAGAAATTCAAACCACTCCTATTGATAATGTAATTTTACAAATGAAATCGATGAAAATTGATAAAATTACTAGTTTTCCATTTCCTACACCACCAGATAAACAGACAATTTTAGAAGCAGAAAAAAGATTAATTACACTTGGTGCTTTAGAAGTTGACAAAAATGTTGCCGGTAAACATGATAAATTTAATATTCATCTAACTATTTAATAATTAATTGTTTGAAACTATATTTAGAAATCAACAATATTACACCTCTGGGAAAGAGTATGGCAGCTTTTCCATTATCCCCTCACTATGCCAAGATGTTGTGTTTGAGTAAAGACCGCAGTTTATTACAGTATATGTTATTTATAATTTCTRCAATGTCTGTTCAAGAATATTTACCTGGTGACAATGTTGATGCTTGGAAAAAAACCAAACTCTCATGGGCAAACAAGGGCGAATTTTTACTTTTAGGTAAATACTAATAACAAAACATATTTATCTATAAAACAATTATTGTGACTTGGCGTGGCAAGGTTGCTGCAATCATGATTGCTGTAACGTGATTGAGTGTACACACCACCTGTTACCACTAATTTCCATGAGGGTGATCACCCGAGTTCTTAGTGGCAAAAACTTTGCC